ACAAGGAATAATGGTTGAAAACTGGTCAAGGAGAGATTCAACCTAGAAATAAGGAGAAATTTTCTGACAGTAGGAACAATCAACCAATGGAACAGCTTGCCTTCAGAAATTGTGGGCACTTCTGCATGCTCACTGAAAGCTTTCAAGACGAGACTGGATTACCAGTTGTCAGAAATGGTGCAGGCTCTCCTGCTTGGGAAGGGGGTTGGACTAAAGTCCTACAAGGTCCCTTCCAGCTCTGTTAATCTATTAAATCTGTTAACTTTTGTTATTATATTTGTTTAATGTTCTTAACAATTGGTTATCTTTACTAAAAATGATCAATATAATTTCCTTACAAAATCTGGTGTGGTATCTTTAGCCTGATTTTTAACCATGGAGGAGAAAACCAGCGAAAAGAGGTGATTACAATGTTAAGCCAATGAATGAAATTATCATCATTTATTGTTTTACTGGGACTGCTTGATGAGCAGAATTACTGAAAGAACAAATAATTCCACAATCCTGTTATCTGATGTCCTTAAGTGTGAAACCTGTGAAAACTGATGCAACTAATGCTTGTTGAGTTAATATAGATTTTCAACTCATAAAGTCTAATGAAAACCATGAGGTCTTATTAATTAGCAGTTTGTGAACACTTACAATTTGCAATCTAAAAGAGCAATAAGTAAATAGATTGAACAGAAAAGGCATTTCAGTCTTCCTGTGTTTTATGTGAAAGAATTTGTTATTCTTTTTAATTTGTTGCAGAAAGTAATTAGTAATAATTTTATAATATGGAATTCAAAAGTAGTCTCTTCGGAATGCTGTCAGCATTTCAGGATACAAAACTCATGACTAACCTTATTAATGACCATATATCTACATCTACATCCATCCATCCATCCATCTATGCTATAAAGTTCCTAAAATTCTGGACCTAGCAAAACATCATACAGCGACTGAATATGTTTATATCATGCTTCAGCTTTTTACCATACGTCAGCTTTTTATACTAACTTACTTTAATATATTATTTCAATGCTATATCATTATACTGCTCACCATATTTAATTTATAATAGATGAAATAATTAACCTATGGAAGTATTCACCTACAAATGATTTTTTTATGTTTACAATCCTTAAAGAGTTATATAAATTATAGGAATATTATTGTTCTTTCTTTAATTTACTTCATTTGTAATATTCAAAATAAGATCATATTTTTATATTACATGACAATGAAATAACTGTTTTTTATATGATCAGGATTCATTAATTCCCTATTTTAATGGAAAATGGATGTAAGTAGAAAATAAGAGAAATAGGTTCAAACATTTCCCTTTTGTCAACTGTCCAATTAGCGAACCCAAAACAAGGAAACACTCTCAGGAGAATTGAATTCCCAAAAGTAAAACTTTATTGGATACACCATGTTGCTACTGAAGAAACGAAACCCACTGTGGTTTCCTGAGCAAATCTTTCCCAGTTAAACAATACTTTCTTCTTTTCCCCACCCTTGCTTGATCACATTGTCCAATTATGAGATGGTCTTTTGTTATGAGAATGGTCCATCTCTTTCTCAAGTATTTGTAGCAGTGCTGGCTCCATGCTCTCACAAACTCTGCATACATTCCCCACATTCCATTTCCCTCCGCCCAATGGAGACATGATCAAAATTTAGATGCTTGGTAACTGGTTCACATTTATGATGGTTGTAGTGTTCTGGGATCATGAAATCACCTTTTACAATCTTCTGACAAAGTCAATGGGGAAGCCAGATTCACTTAACAATCATTTTACTAATTTAATAAATGCAATGATTCACATAACAACTGTGGCAAGAAAATTCGTAACTGATTCTGAACTTCTGAGAGACTCTCTTCCGATCTGCCTATCTCTTTTGCAACTCCCTAGCCTTATTCAGGGCTTTCTGCACGGTTCCCCAAGAAGCTTTCAGAGTCTCCATCTATTCAGCTATTATTACTGAGGGAGATGGTTTCCTTGGAAACTCTAGCAGAGATACAAATTCAACCCCCATGGTTACTTTAAAAGGTGTGAATCCAGTACTGCTATGCACCAAGTTATTATAAGCCACTTTTACGAAAGGTAGAAGCTCCACCCAGTTGGTTTGCTGATAGTGTACATAGCAACAAAGGTATTGGTCCATCATTGTGTTAGTTTTTTGTGCCACCCCATTGATGCACAGATGGAGGAGGTTGGATCAAAAGAGCTCAAGATGCCTTCAAAGGATCCTTCCTTCAAATTCTATCCCTACCCCACTCCAAATAGCCAACACTTGGCTAAAACAAGGGGAGATGAGGAAAGGTCAAACCAAGGGATATCTAGTTTCCTGTCAGGATAGAACAGAAAATGTTCAGTCAAAGGGTTTCTGGGACTTATGTTAACCTTGATAGACATTTGTGACTACCTGATCCCAGAGAAGATTGATCTCTTTCTGAGCCAGTCCTAATGTAATGGCTCCTCTACTAACTTGAGAAAGTAAAGACTCTTGAAATGGATTATTTCAAAAGGAACCTTTAATCAGTCAGGATGGAAACTATTAGAAGCAAAGCAGCATCTG